GCTCCCACCCTGCTCCACCGGGAATCACCTGGGAGCGGCGTTTTAAATTGGATGCCCAAAGTCCCACTCCCAGAGAGGCTCACCTCATTGGGCTGGGGGTGCTGCTCACGCCCCGAATTTTATTAAACCTCCCGCGGGAGCCTCGTGTGCAGCCAGCGAGAGGAGCCTCTGGCCCACCCCGCACAGCCCCGGGCCCCGCGCGCCCCGCGCCCTGCTCCCGCGCGCACCACGTGTGGACGCCGCGGCCCCTTCCGAGCAGACAGAGGCCAGGGAAGTAAATGCCCGCACGTTACACGTTCTCAGAGGCCAAACGCTCCGAGGCAGAACTCCGCGCCCCGCGAACCTCTAGATTCATTAACACCCAAGGAACTTCGCAGGACAAACCTGCCGTCCCACCGTCCCCGCGGGGCGCGGAGTCCGCCTCCGGGTTCACCGCGCATTGCAGCGCGGGCAGGAACCTGCACCCTCAGGGCACCCCAAATGCCCGCCTGCAGCCCCGGAGGGCCCGCCCTGAAGCCCCCTAGTTGTCACTCGGGCCAGGAGACGGGAGAAAGCGGTGCCACCTTACCTGGCGCGGCGTCCAGGGTCCGGGTCGCGGTCGCAGCCAACTGCGTTCTCCGCCAGGGGTACGGGGTGTCCCGGGCGGTGACCAGCGGCACCCCGGAGAGAAGCTGGGCCGCGACGGGTCTGCTGCCCTCCGCCCGGAGCCCGCGTCCCGGCAGCGGCCCTGCAGAGCGCGGCGGCTCCCGAGCGCGCTCTCGGCCCCCTGGAGGCGGAGCCCGGGAGATAAGGTTCGCGCTCCCCACCCGCCCCCTTTCCGGGGCGAAGGCCAGAGGGTGGGTTTTGGATCTGGCTCTCGAAGCGCCAACTGCTAGTGGAACCGTGATGGACACATGCTCACTTCCAGTGCCGCTGGGACCAGAAAATACACCCCTGAGAGCGGGCAGAATGCGGCGGGAAAGGTGCAGGCGACGCGGAGGCGGAAAGGACTGGCGCGCATCCGGGCGGGGGCCTGGGCGCATCAGCGCGCTCGTCCCGGGAGGCCTTCCTCCCTCCTTCCTCCCCGGGCGGGTGAGAAGGGCCCTGGGGCGCCAGGGGCGGCACCCTAGTCTGCCCCACAGCAAACTCACTGACGTCCCGCCTGGAACCTGCGGCCGTCGCTGCCCGAAAGCCCGGGAGGCGCTCACTTTCACACAGGTGCGCAGTTACCTTTGAGGAGTTAGGAGGCGCAGGGAAGTCCTGGAAAAAAGGTGACTGGCTTAATAAAGGGGTGCTCTGTGCTCTGCCCCTTTTAGTCCATCTTTCAGAGTAGCCAGGAAGCTCTTTAACGTTCCTGTTCTTGGGGCTCCATTGTCCTCTGGCCCCCAGCTGGCTCCCTCCCCCCTTCTCACTCTGCTCCCCCGGGGCGGCCTGTGGGCCTCCCTTATCCGCACCCGCGTGCGCTCTCACTGCGCTTCCTTCTGCCTCCAAAGCTCTGCTCCTCTTCATTCAAGTCTCAGCGTCACTCCCAGAGTCCTCCCTGCACAACCCAGCCAGGTGGAAACCCCACAACCATGCCATCCCCTAGCCCCACTTTTTTTTTTGGGGGGGGGGTAATTTTATTATTTGTTTGTTGCGCTTTTGTTTTGCTCCCATCTCAAGGTGAGCTCTGTGAGGACAGAGGATGGGTCTTCTACTCAGCTTTACCCTTTGTCTCTAAGGCAATACCTGGAATATAGTAGGCGCCTAATAAATAGNTGAGGACAGAGGATGGGTCTTCTACTCAGCTTTACCCTTTGTCTCTAAGGCAATACCTGGAACATAGTAGGTGTCTAATAAATATTGGCTGAGTGAACGCGTGAATCAGTATCTCCCCAAAGGAGAATCTTGACAGAGGAATGCCTTCCCTCTATCTCAGTCCTTCCGAGCTCAAGGTCAGATGGAAACACACAGGAGCGATGATCATTTCCTACATCTCCATGCATTGTACATACATTCATGTCATACACAGCCCATTGTCATGTAAATATGCTTCTTCGTGGATATTTTCGTATCAATGGCAATGTAAAAATAATTTTTCAGTATGAAGACATGGATAACAATTTCCAGACATTTCTTTTATTAATGAAGAGAATACAGTCCAAATTCTCAGCAAATGGCCTCTTCTACTTTGCAGAGGAAACTGAAGCCTGTCAAAACCAAACCCGCACCCAATTGCTTCTGCTTTGCATCTATTAAAATAGAAAAGGGGGTCCCCCCACCTTTACCCTGTGTCCCATCCCTTTCTGTCTCCTCAGAAACCATCCTATTTGTGGCTCCAATTCTCTCTTGTATCTTTAAACTCATCCTCTTCAAAAGCTTATTTAAACTTCCTCCAGGCTCTCCTACCCCAATCCATTACGTACTGCTCCTCTCACCGCTCCCTAACACTGCTCCAGCCCCGTTTGCTAGCAACCTCCACTATTCCACGGACCAGCCCTACTTTATCAGATACTGATTCAGAAGCGTGGTGATGGGGCCTAGGGATCTGCAGGTGGCAGAAGCTCCCCCTAGGTCATTATAGTACACAGTTTTTGTTGAGGCTGTTGCAAAGGCCACCTGTCAGTTCTTTCCTCTCTAAATCTCTCAGTAGTTTTTGACCTAGTTGGTCCCTACTCTACCCATCTTGAAATATTTTCTTCCCCTGTCCTTACTAACGTTTCACCTAGCTACCTGTCTCTGCTATAGGCCCTTCTTCTGTCTCTAGGTGCTCAGCCCCAAGCCTTCTTTCCTCCCAGTGAGCTCTCCTTCAGCCAGGTTATCCATTTCCATAGCTTCATGGATAGTTGGGGTTCTTAATTTTCATCCAGTATTCTGTACACATATATATGTTAATTTTTCTGGGGAGAGGAATTTGAGATTCTTTTATATTATCAAAGCATAGCCCTCTGACCATTATTCCACCCACAGAAAGGTTAAGAGCCCTTCATCTACTCGCATGCCCACATCTCAACCCAGATCCCTTTCCCCAAATTTCAGCCAGTATCCCAACTGTTCACCGGACATCTTCATTTGTATGAATGACAGACACTTCAAGTAAAATACAGTCAAACCTGAGCTTATTACCTTTCTGTCCCCCTTGAGAAGAAACCTGCTCCTGCTCTCGACATTCCCTATCTTTCCCAAGGGCCCACTATTCGTCCAATTGATCAAGACAGGACTTTCCATAGTCTCCACTCTAAAGTACANTCCCTAAAACTGCTCCAGCCTAAAACTGCTCCGGCCCAGTTTGCTAGCAACCTCCACTATTCCACAACCAGCCCTATTTTATCAGATACTGATTCAGAAGCGTGGTGATGGGGCCTAGGGATCTGCAGGTGGCAGAAGCTCCCCCTAGGTCATTATAGTACACAGTTTTTGTTGAGGCTGTTGCAAAGGCCACCTGTCAGTTCTTTCCTCTCTAAATCTCTCAGTAGTTTTTGACCTAGTTGGTCCCTACTCTACCCATCTTGAAATATTTTCTTCCCCTGTCCTTACTAACGTTTCACCTAGCTACCTGTCTCTGCTATAGGCCCTTCTTCTGTCTCTAGGTGCTCAGCCCCAAGCCTTCTTTCCTCCCAGTGAGCTCTCCTTCAGCCAGGTTATCCATTTCCATAGCTTCATGGATAGTTGGGGTTCTTAATTTTCATCCAGTATTCTGTACACATATATATGTTAATTTTTCTGGGGAGAGGAATTTGAGATTCTTTTATATTATCAAAGCATAGCCCTCTGACCATTATTCCACCCACAGAAAGGTTAAGAGCCCTTCATCTACTCGCATGCCCACATCTCAACCCAGATCCCTTTCCCCAAATTTCAGCCAGTATCCCAACTGTTCACCGGACATCTTCATTTGTATGAATGACAGACACTTCAAGTAAAATACAGTCAAACCTGAGCTTATTACCTTTCTGTCCCCCTTGAGAAGAAACCTGCTCCTGCTCTCGACATTCCCTATCTTTCCCAAGGGCCCACTATTCGTCCAATTGCTCAAGACAGGGCTTTCCATAGTCTCCACTCTAAAGTACGTCTGAGCCTGTCCTGATTCAAACACCAAGATGATTTTCTAATACTGTTAAGATAAGTTCTGAGCTCTTCAGCCTCTCTCCACTACTGTTACCTTGCTTACCTCGCAGGACTTCCCACTTCTTCCCACCTCCCNGTGGTGATGGGGCCTAGGGATCTGCAGGTGGCAGAAGCTCCCCCTAGGTCATTATAGTACACAGTTTTTGTTGAGGCTGTTGCAAAGGCCACCTGTCAGTTCTTTCCTCTCTAAATCTCTCAGTAGTTTTTGACCTAGTTGGTCCCTACTCTACCCATCTTGAAATATTTTCTTCCCCTGTCCTTACTAACGTTTCACCTAGCTACCTGTCTCTGCTATAGGCCCTTCTTCTGTCTCTAGGTGCTCAGCCCCAAGCCTTCTTTCCTCCCAGTGAGCTCTCCTTCAGCCAGGTTATCCATTTCCATAGCTTCATGGATAGTTGGGGTTCTTAATTTTCATCCAGTATTCTGTACACATATATATGTTAATTTTTCTGGGGAGAGGAATTTGAGATTCTTTTATATTATCAAAGCATAGCCCTCTGACCATTATTCCACCCACAGAAAGGTTAAGAGCCCTTCATCTACTCGCATGCCCACATCTCAACCCAGATCCCTTTCCCCAAATTTCAGCCAGTATCCCAACTGTTCACCGGACATCTTCATTTGTATGAATGACAGACACTTCAAGTAAAATACAGTCAAACCTGAGCTTATTACCTTTCTGTCCCCCTCGAGAAGAAACCTGCTCCTGCTCTCGACATTCCCTATCTTTCCCAAGGGCCCACTATTCGTCCAATTGATCAAGACAGGGCTTTCCATAGTCTCCACTCTAAAGTACATCTGAGCCTGTCCTGATTCAAACACCAAGATGATTTTCTAATACTGTTAAGATAAGTTCTGAGCTCTTCAGCCTCTCTCCACTACTGTTACCTTGCTTACCTCGCAGGACTTCCCACTTCCTCCCGCCTCCTTACCCCCCTATCCTCTAAACACTCTCCACACTGAACTTCTGCTGCTGCAGACCCTCCTTGCCCAGATGTCCTTTCTATAGAAACTGTGATAGGGTCCATTTATGTTGTTTTAAACTGCAAAGTTTGTGGTAATTTGTTACACAACAATGAAAAATTAACACAGTGAACTGAAGTCCAACTCTTCTAGCAAGGTATAAATTTCCTGAGCTACTCATTTTAATAAATGTAATATATTTTTGATATACAATTAATATTTATTATATCCCTCAATAACTATTTTATTTATTATTTAATTTTATTTGATTATTAATTGTTTAGTTACTGATTTGGCAAATTTAAGATATATATTAAATATTTTAATTATTTAAGTAAGACTTGCATGTAAACACTTAAATTTTAAAATTAGATGAAATATATGCTTGGCAAGTAAAATTTCTGTTTTTGTTTTAGGACATAATTGTGCCCAAATCTACAATATTGCCTCTTCCTCATCAACAACAAAGATCTAAGTCATAGATTCCAAAATTAGGGCAAAAGAGACCAAAAGAATCCTCATTTCCTTTGCAACCCTCTTTGTCTTCTCTCAGCACCATCCATACCTCCTACCCCACGGACATAGAAGGAACTGTTTCAGTAGGATTGCCTATGACTGACACAGTGCTCCACTAGAAACGCCTTCTGGCC